TACTACTACTACTACTACTACTACTACTACTACTACTACTACTACTAACCACAGAAACAGAAAGAGGCCCAGCTCGTCCAAGGTGGAGGAGAGAAAGTGCCCGGACTCTGACGGGGGTGAGAGTGACACTCATCCCTAGGCTTCGCTGGGTTTCGGGGGTCTTTCAGAGTCAATGCTGCCAGGTTGCTCGAGGGCACACTTGGAGGAAGTAAATCACCAAGAGGCTCCTGCCGAGACATGAGCACAAGCACGAGAGGAACGAGCCATGAAAAAATGATCCTCGCAGGAGAAAAAATCGCGGTGTCACCGTGGACGAAAACAGGATATCCATGAAGACCGACGAGCTTTCACTCGGGTCAACCGCAGATCCGCCCCCCCCTTTTCACGTCTCTCAACTCCCGATCTGCTCCGCTCTGCTCCGGCCCGCACGTCGCGTTCGCGCTTTCGCGGACGGTAGCGGTTTTGGGGGACGCCTCGCGTTGTTTCACGTTTGCGTGGACGCGGAGAGGGCTCCAGTGGTAGGGTGAGAGGTAGCCCTTGGCCGCATGGCAAATCCCACGATCCTTGGCCCAGCGCCTCGCTTTCGGAGGTGGAGCTGAGAGGAGAGGAGGTTGAGACAGCTGAGAGGAGGACCAACAATGAAGTGTATTGAAATTCAAAACTGAAAGAAACACTGTTTTAGGACTTTATAGGAATATGTCCAAACAGATGTTTGATGAAGTCATTTGAGATCATTTGAGCCTGAGTGTCTATTTGAGTGTCTATTTGAGTGTCTTTGAAATAGAAAAAGGGTGAAAGCATGTCAAACCTAACGACTGACTCCCACTCTAAGAGGAAAGATCAACTAAAGTAACTAAAGGCCTTGTACCTCTTCAATCGCCAGCGGACTTTGCAGGGGGCTACTTTCAGATGCTTTGAGATGCTTTGAGACAGCGCCAGATGAGGAGCAACAGAATAAGGCAGTGAGAATTTCTAAGGCAGTGATCAGAAGCAGAAAAGTGCTTCTCATTCTCATCAACAGAATCCCGGTGACGTCACCCGCCTCACCAGCAGAATCAACTGCTTGGCACGAAGGTCCCATTGAGCGCATTCCTGAGCAGATAGTGGGATCGCCCTTATGAAGAATCCGCCCAGTCGTGAGGGTCCTTGAAGGGGCAACATCGTGGGGTCAGTGCCGGTCAGTGCCAGATACCTATTAAAAAGGCCAGCGATGACCCCATGCCGAACTCCTTGTTCGGCTTCGAAAACGCGGATCCGAAGCGACCGGGCCGAAGCTCAACATGGACTTTTAAAGAAAAACTTCTACGGTAGAGCATCTATAGAACCAGACATGCCACTCATGGATCATGAGAAAAAACAATTATGGATCAGAAGAACTAGACTACCTCGCTGGTTGCCAACAATGATCATGAAGTCTCTACTGGGTATGCCTCCACTAGTCACTATCGAGTCATGGTCACGTTCCTCTGTTTCATCCTGTGTTTGATGACCAGTGAGTCATGTGGAGGTGTCAATCCTAAGCTTGGGGCAGGTGAGAAACATCTATGCAACCGGGAGATCGGGAATGACTCTGGAACGACTTGGTTCCATGGAAAACGCAAAGAAACATAAACCAGGACGCCTATATATAGAAGCGATTCATGGAAAAGAAATCTTGACATTCAAGGAGGCTTGATTTCATGTAATTCTAGGCACGCCTTTCGACGTTGCCCAGTAGCCATCCACCTATTCTTTCTCATTCCTTCTCCCACCACGCTTCACCACCCTTCACCTTCCTTCGGAACGCTCAAGCTTCACTCAGCAGCGCGGCCGCGTAGAGCGGCGTCTCCGCGTTCACAGCCAAGTCCAAGGGCACGGCCTCAGCGTCGCCGCCCGGCGCCAGCAGCGTGAGCTTCGGCTCCTCGCCTGGTGGAGGGGCCGGTGTCGGTTCGACCGGATCGTTCGATCGTGGTTCGAGGAAGAGAAAGGAGGTGCGTTTTTTGCGAGCCAGGTGAGGTGACCGTCCGTCTTCAAGGCCTTTTTGCGGAGCGTTTCGTGTAAAAAGAGCTCAAGAAAATGCAAATGAAAATCTGTCAAGAGGACAGGTTTGGATCCAACCGGTGGTTCTACGAGAGCTCGGAAAGCCTGGTTATTCAGACTCATCTTCCCCCGCGGTCACAAGTGATGCACAATGCAACAATTTCATGTTCACTTGATCTGCAGAAAACAGAAGCTTCCTCTACCAACCTACCAAGCTACAGACTTTACCACTACCTCAACCCACCTCATTGCAGCCTCCACACATTGATCCCAACACCAAGTCCAGTCCAGCCCCCGCTGGAGCTCTTTCACAGGCTGACCCAGACGGACCCACCAACAAGCCGCGCGCCCGCGACGGCGAGCCGCGCCGCAACGCGCCCGCGTGGCCTCGGAAGGCGCTGCGCCGGAACTTGAAGCCACAGGAGGTCACCAGGATCTCCGCGATGCTGCGGATCGCCGCCTCGCGGGCGAGCAATGGAGCGGTGGCCGGGCCATTGGAGCGGGTTGCGCCGGTGAAGGATGCGCTGGTGGGGTGGACGTGGTGGTTCCGTATTTGTTGCTGGTGCGGGCAGGTGTGACAATGGAGGCTCAGAGCCAGCGGAAACTAGGCCAAGCGACAAAGAAAAGCGCAAGCGTTTCATGACGGGGACTGGAGCTATATGATTCTTGCTCATCTGGATACCTCCAATACATACGAACATCTCTGTTGACTAATTAGAAGTTGACAGAACTGTCAGGCTGTCAGGCCTTCTCGAGCTGTTTGTCCAACTTTCCTTGGCGCCAAGGCGAGGGCGGATTCCTTCCTTCTGCAGTGGTGGTGGAGGGCTGCCGGGACCAAAAGGAGCCGCAGCTCTCAACAGGTCCAATTCCCCATGTTTGGGACAAACCACCAACCCCGAGACACCCAACACCAAGCGACCTGACCAACCCGCAGCTCGCTGGACAGAGACCTCTAGCATGTATACAGTATCAACCCCATTCATCCACACCCACAACAGCACCTCAGAGCAACACACACCACAAATTACCCTGAACCCCCCGCGAACTTCGCTTCATCACAGTACGCACCACCAATCACCACACCCTGCCACACTCAACAACAAGTTTCTCTCCAGCTTTCCCAACAACTTCTGGCGCAAGAGCTCGGGGCTCACCGACACCACCAGCTCGATGTCCTGCGGAACCGCTCGAGGCGGTTCGGTCGGAGCCGAAGGGACGAGGGGACGAGACGTCGACCGGGGCGACCGGGGCGACCGGTGAGGTACTTGGTGGCATCCTGGGTGTACCAACCAACAAGTGCCAACAAGTACCAACAAACAACAAACAAGTATATAGCTGGTTTTTCGAAGATGTGGACTCTTGATATCCCTGTTTGAGGTCACTTAAAGCCCTCTACTAGAGGGTCGCTTAGGAATACCTAGTTAGGGACTCCGCAAAGGTCCATTTGAAGACGCTGGGATGCGTCTTTTCGTGGGGAGACTGCATGATTCCTCAGGCAGACCCCCGTGACTTCGGAAGGACCATCAACCAAAACCCCAGTTAGCACAAACCAACAAGGAAAAATAAAATGTTCTTCATCAACCAAAACCCCAGTGACGTAGCACAAACAAACCAAAAACCTCCAAAACGAAACCACCAGCACCACCGAAGCCCCAAGCCGGACCCTCGAACCGACCGTCCGACCCTCGGACCCGGTGTCCGGCACGGCCACCCGGAAGGCACGGCTTCCTTCGAGCTCTCCACTCCTCCCGGAGAGAGGTGAGCGGGGAGGTGGAGAGGTGAGGGACCAAGCACTATAGGTGGAGCAGCCCCAAGATGTGAAGCTCCAGCGGTGTGGGACGTTGGGAGTTTCAGTTGGGAGTTGGGTGTGAATGTGAATGAACGGCACGACATCCACTCATGGACTCTAAAGATCTACAATTCCACCCGCTTGTGAAACTGCTTGTACCAGGGCCCCCTGTTTCTGGAATGTCTAAGAATAGCCCCTTAGAGGTGACTCGGAGTGTCCATGTCTACCACCCCAAGGTCCTAGAAAATCGGATCAGATCCCAAGTCTACATAAATTCACCACTTGAAAAAAACACCAGGCCGGAGTCCGAACCTCCCGTCGTCCGAACCTCCCGTCGTCCGTTCGCTCCGGGAAACCCCCTCGTCGGTCGTTCGGGCGGCGGTTCGGGTCTGAGACGCCGCGCACGAAGCCGCAGACGTCGGACTCGGGGAAGAGCGGGCGGATCGCCTCGCGTACCTGGCGCTCCGTCCCCGCCGTCACGCGACGTCCGCCGATGCCGCCGGTGGCGGAGGTCGGAGGTCGGAGATCATCCGCAGGTCGAAGGGTGAAAAGGGGGTGTCACTGGTCACGAATTATGTGATAAACTGAGATATATAGGTGATAACTCATGACCGTCTATACTATACTACTAAAAAATATACCACCCCTTGATCTTCAGTTCGTGACCCAGACTGATACCCAGGCGGTTGAGGTCACTAAGCCTCTAACTTGAGGGGTCACGAACTGAAGAAGCCGGCCAATAACTGATTCATGCTGATCTGATCCATAACTCTTTTCCTTCCCAACTCTAAGGTCTCCGGTCTACAACATCTACACCTGCTGTCCAGTCCACCAAGTGGCTGAAGAGACATGCTACTACATCAGTCTCCCCAAAGACAGGAAGGCCCCAAGCACAGGGTACACCCTGGCCAGGCTCCGTCCCACTTTCCTGGTGATGTTCGAAAATCTCAAATAAAAGACATAAAGACTCTCCGGCCTGATCCCAACCACTTACCAGTACCAAGCGCATTCAGCTCTTCTTTTTGCATTGCGCACTTTGTCAGAGACACACACTCCACTTGGATGATTGGAGTGACAACCATCGGCCACGGCATGGCCGCAAATCAGCTGAACTGAAGGGTCTTCGGCAAAGCCACCACAGGAGTTCCAAGTGCAGGGGGGGTGGCGATGGTCTCCACATCAACCGCTAGGACCGCTAGGAGCTTCCAAGATCAGTGTTTGGAGCCACAGGTGCTGAACCTGGGCACTGGACTTGGAAACACTTGGAAACGGCGAGCTTGGAAAGCTCAGGAATGTGAATGCTGTTGTTCTTTCATTGAAGTGTATACTCTGGCTCACGATTGGTGAATCTGCTCTCGTGGATGAGCAGGACGGGCCACTGCTAGCGTTCGCACCAGCTGGGGGTTCAAGAAGCCCAAGCAATCGACCTCGCGCTCGGCACGGGGCGTGCGAGAAGGAAGGGTTCTGATGGCTCAGGTTTACACCCCAAAACGGTTTCTTTTTCAGTGAAGATATCCTAGTCTTTGGGTGACCACGTGCTTCCTCGCGCGGGGCTTACTCGGGTGGTCCACAGGCTTACTCAATCTATTCACCTGCCAGGCACCCAGCAAGACCCAAACGAAGTGGATGTTGTCCAAGCACAGCCGGTAAAAAAGAGATGGTGTGTAGGGAGACACCCAATCGCCCCAATGGGTGACTGGTCGATGTTCCGAACCCCATGGGCTCGGGCGGTGCCTCGCCACGCCTGCGGCCTGCGGTTCAGTCGAGACCCATTTTCACACACACCCGTATGCCCTGTTGTTTTTGCTCTTCGAAGCTCCCACATGGTCTTTGGTGACCCCCTGAGCTTTCCAACTTTCAAGGTTCCATCTGGGAAAAGAGCTTTTGAACTTCTTCTAAGCAGCTGGACCAGCAGGCCTGTAGCAAAATCTGAACTGCTGTCGTCTGCGTCTCTTCGCTCGGTCTCAACTCTGGCCATCCAAAAAAGGAGCCGAGCCGCGCCCGGTCTCCACTTCAACACCTTCCACCGGGCCGCGGCCCGCTCCTTCGCCCCGTTCGCCTCGTTCGCCTCGTCGCCGCGCTTCCGGTGGCCGTCCCGTGCAGGAGTGGCCTCCCGCGGGCGCGAGAAAGGCAGGCGTGCGTGCTGTGGTGGCTGGGTTAGGACCTCACCTTGGATGAAGCATGATGAAGCACAAAATGTTTGGAAGAAGCGTGGATTCTAAATGGCCAAGATGCTCCAACAAAACTTCTGCACCTTCCCTCGCCCCTGCTTCAGGTGAGGTGGATGACCAGTTTCAATCGTTTTGAAGGGATTGCGGTCAAGCAAACACCTGGGTGGGAATGACCATGTCCCCCATTGAACTGGCTTTGCACTCCTGTAGGGGACTCTTGAACATGCATGAACAAATTGCATGCACCTTGTGGAATTCTCGATTTTCTTTGAGAGATGACTGGGATTCCACTCAATCCATTCCCATTTGTCCAAATCTCGATGCTGGGACTGGTTGGGTGGCTTAAGAACGCTTTCATCAGACCTATTGAAGTGACCTTTCCTTTCCCCAACCTCAGTTCTTTTCACTCGGTCTTCTCCCAACCAAACTGACACCATGCCTAGGATCCAACCCCCCTGATTCCTCGCGAAGCACGCAGGACGAGCCACACAGTCCCGCACCCAGCGCATTCCGGGACCCCGTCCCGTCGGTCGGTCGCCTCAGTCGTAGAGTCGCATGGACTGCTCTTCGGTCCAGCTCAGCTGCACGGCGGAGGAGACGTAGGACGGCTGCTGGGCGTTGAAGGAGGTGAGGCACTTCACGTACCTCGACGCCGGTCGCTGTCGGCAGTTCGGTCGGCCCGAGGCGACGGGCTGCGGTCTTCACCTAGTCGGTGGAGTCACCTAGTCGGAAGACTCACAGTTGTTCGGTGGCGTCCCCCCGAAAGTCCGACAAAAGGCCCTAACCACATGTAGAGAGTCGGTGGGAAGTGGTGTTAACTAGAGAGACTTGCTTTCACTCAAAGCCACGGATCTCCTCCCCCAAGATCTGGAGAGCCATCCGTACACTGCGACCCTGGATGGTCCAAAGGGAGACGCAGCCTGGTCCTTTGGAGAGCAGGAAAACTGCAAGCTAAGGTTCAAGCCTCTTGGTTGGGTTCGCGCATCACTTGGAGGAACACCCATTTCGCCGATCCATGTTCTACAGTTCTTTTTTATTCCTTTTTGAGGATCACCACAAAAACTCTAAACATGGGTTGATGGATCACAGCAACGTCGCCTCCGACGGACCCCCCCAAAAAAAAAGGACCGCGAAGCAACCGTCGTCTGTCACGGAGACCTGAGGGCGGTCTATTCAGATAAGGGGGAGGGACCTCCCAGGCAAGGCCAGGCGACCCTTCCGACCAGACCACTGCAAGGTCCACCCCCGACCGTGGCGAGAGCGACCGGTGGCTGCGTGGAGCCGAACCTACAGTAAGTGACCTGAACGAACGGACCTGCCAGCTGGGGTATCTACCAACACCTGACCGTTCGTGATCGTGGCGGGTCGTGGTCGGTCACCGGGTTGGCCGTATGATTTCAGGTCCACATTTTGACCAATCCAGGTGTCAGAGGTCACGAGTGGTCACGGGTGGTCACGGGTGGTCACGGTCCACTGGGAGAGTCGATCAGGTTCTGAAAAACCTCTGTTGGAACCAAGGACTAAGGTTCAATATCTATAATGGAACATCCCACGTTCCACTAGTGTTTATCATGTTTTGAACATCCCATGTTCCACGGCCCAAGGTACTTCTCCATGATGAGCCAATCGCCCAAGCCTTGGACCGACTCACTCGGACTGACTCCACACGGGTTGCACTGGGCGGACCCTTTAAACGTTCGGTGCCCTCCAAGGCAAGGCATGGAGAAAGAGCCCATCCGCAGATCTCAGTGGAGGGCCAATCCGAGGGACCGTGATCATTCACATTGACCCGTGCAGGAAAAAAGGCTTGGCAATATCTATAATGCGTGCCAATGCACTTGAAAAAAGAATTGTGCCAAAACATGATTGCAATGGATCGTGGTTTGTATATAAATGCCGCCAGCTTATACATCTAAGATTTCCCAACATGTCCGACATGTCCAAAACATTATGATACAATGTGACACGTGGGTTTAAATTGCAGCTTATAAAACTTCCGGAGTCCATTCGCTAGATCAAAGCTGGGTGGCTAAAGGCAGACACCGGCGATTCCAAGAACTCATCCTTCTCCTACACGAAGAGACACGCAGAGACACGGAGAGACACGGTAGGCTGGTGGTGAAAGACTCACGAACCAGGGTGGAAAATCATGGAAATCATCCCAAGTCAAAATTGAAACTAACAAATCTCTGAAACCACCACCCTGAGGCAAAGCTTGCTTCTTGGAATTGCCCCCTTCTCTGGCTGGGGAAGAAGAGGGCCGACCCTCCTTCAAGTACCGGGACTCTGCAGGTGTTCAGGTGACTCGCGACTCGTGATCATTTAGCGAATCCAAAAATCTCGTTCTCTGCACCAAGCGGCGCGACACGAAATTCAAAAACTTCTGCCTTTTACCTTTTCATGTTGTCTCTCGTGGGCAGGACACCGGAGGGGTTATTCACGAACCGAACAAAAAATAGCGTATTCGCCTCAAGCATACATCTAAATAGTGAACGAATAGGATTTTTGTGATATCATCATTGATGCTATCAAAAGATGGTTGCCAAAAAGGGATCTGTTGCACTTCAGCTCTTTTCTGCCAGCCGGTTGTATATAATCATCGCTGTATAACCCCCACTGCCATACCTTCACTGAATGATATGAGGTTTCTTTGGAAAAGTATCTTAAAACTTCTTGGTGGTTCAAAAAAATATCACCCCACATGAGACCTCTGACCACACCCCCAAAGTCACAAGTACGACGCAGAGAGGCCCCGAAAGCCATCCGCGACGGACGCGACGCACTCAGCTCCTTGTTCCGCCCGGGACGGCTGATGTTGGCCACTGATCGAGTGGCCACCAAGACCTCCTGCTCCTGGTGCACGTGATACCTGGCGGCGCAGAGCGCGGGGCGCGCTGAGCGCGCAAGAGCGCGCCACGAAAAGGCCTGGCAGCTGGGGCCAAACCACCTTCAATCAAAGCGGTCAACTTTCCGAGGAAAAAATAAACAAGAAGTGCGTCAGATCCTATAGCCTAGAAGACATACACCTAGGAAGACATACAAACAAACCGCCCATCCGCCCGTCCCCGCCCGTCCACTGGAGCCACAACCCGGTCTGGAAGTGGCCTCTGGAGATAGTCGTGCAAGAGCGCAGCGTCCCTCGAGTGCGTGTGATTCTTCTTTTGGATCGGCAACGACATCTGCCTCAGCGGCAGCGGGCTGCGGACAAGATGTCGGCCAGCTCTTGGCTGTTGAAGAACTGCAGGTGACCGGCATTGTTTAGGGTCATGAACAAGACACGCCAGA